CCCCACCCCACCCCGCCCACCTCGAGCTCCTTGCGGGCCCCCTCGAACTCCTCAATGTCGTCCAACTTCAGCTCCAAGCGGGTCGGTTTCCGCCGCAGCATCTCGGACGACCGCCCCTCTCCTGCGCATGCGCGCGACTTCCCTGGGAAGCCGCCCGCCCGCCAGGGCTCTCCCTCCCGGCATGCCCCGCGCCGTTCTTTCCACACACACCCTCCAACAACCCGAGCTCCTTGCGGGCCCCCTCGAACTCCTCAATGTCGTCCAACTTCAGCTCCAAGCGGGTCGGTTTCCGCCGCAGCATCTCGGACGACCGCCCCTCTCCTGCGCATGCGCGCGACTTCCCTGGGAAGCCGCCCGCCCGCCAGGGCTCTCCCTCCCGGCATGCCCCGCGCCGTTCTTTCCACACACACCCTCCAACAACCCGGAAGCGTTGGGCGGGGCGGCCATAGAGGGTCCTCCGAGGCGGCTAGAACGGAAACCTGGGAAGCGGTGCCCTCCGGAAGTGCTCGCCCGCGCGCTTCGCCGGGCTGAGCTGAGGGGAAGCGGGGGTCTTCGACGGAGAAGGGTCGCCATGGCTACGTCGCGGGCCTCCTCGGTAAGGGGCGCTTGGGGCCTGGTGGGAGTTTCGCGCCCGGCCCTTGTTTCTTTTCGGGCGGTGTCGGGGGGGGTTTCTCCTCCTCCCGTTTCCCCTCCCCTCACAACAGCCCTGTGAGGTAGGCCGGTCAGGGCGCCAACCCGAGCGACCGGCTGACTTGAGCGGGGTTTTGAAACGGGTCGCCCGGCCTTCTTGCTTCGGGAGGTGTTTTGGGTGCCGCTGTTTTGTCTTGTTTTTAATTAGTTTCATTATTTTGTATTTGTGTCGCCCGCCCCCCCCCTTGTGAGCGCCCAGGGCTGTTCTTTCAACGACGTCAGCCGCCATGGAGCAAGAGGCGGGGTAAAAAAAAAATCCTAAATAAGCCTTTATTTCTATATTTAAAATATTTTTACCCAGCCTTTCCCCTTAGAAAGCATCCAAGGTGGCTTACATCATTTGAAAGAGCCATGTGTTTAAAAAAAAGCTATAAACAGTAAGTCTATAATTCAAAAAGAAAAGTAAATAAATATGATATTAAATAAAAGCCTTGACTAGCAACTCTCAGGGGTTCTATGCCTTCCCCTGTCCTGTCCTTTGCTCTTTGTGACCCGGTGAGGCAGCCTTGGTCATTTTTATTTATTTATTTATTTATTTAATTTATATGCCGCCCACTCTACCCAAAGGTCTCTGGGCGGCTTACAACAGCTTGGAATCGGCTGATGAGCTTCCCTCCTTCCTTCCAGGGAGGAAAAACCAAAGCTTCCGACGACGGTGATGGCCCCCCAGCCAAGAAGGGGCCGATTTTCTACGGAAGCCTGGAGGAGAAGGAGCGGGAACGTCTTCTCAAAGGAGAGTCCGGGATGCTGGGGAAGGACGCGGTCAGAGCAGCTATCGAGGCCGGCAACATCAACATCACCAGCGGTAAGAAGGGGCCGGTGAACTTGATAAAACTGGCTGGCGGGAAGATCATGCTTGGCCAGCATCCCACACACTGGGTGCCAGATTGTGGCTTGTCTCTGTTGATACGACCGTTCGCAGAGGCTGGCCCCCCGCGTGTTTTCAGCTTTCTTCTGTCCTCAGGGGAAGTCTTCGACCTGGAAGAGCACATCAGCGAACGGCAGGCGGAGGTCCTGGCGGAATTCGAGCGCCGGAAGCGGGCCAGGCAGATCAACGTCTCCACGGACGATTCGGAGGTCAAAGCCTGCTTACGGGCCCTTGGGGAGCCCATCACCCTTTTCGGAGAGGGTCCCGCAGAGAGGCGGGAGAGGTGAGAGGGGGGCGTGAATTGGCCTCTCGGCTTTCCCACCGGGGCGCGGAGGGGGAGCCCTCTACCCTCCTTGTTCTTTTCGTTTCTGGAAAACAGAGACGGAAAAGCAACAGTGCAGCTTGAAACCTGACTTGGTTTCTTGGCAGGCTACGTAACATTCTTTCGGTGGTCGGCACTGATGCCTTGAAGAAGACCAAGAAAGATGATGAAAAATCCAAGAAATCGAAAGAGGAGGTAAAGGCATTATGAAATTCTTTGTAGTGAAGCTTATTTGTTCATTTATTTAGAAATACTCATCAGATCTCATCTGTTTTTGCCCGGGTTTTTCCCCCCCTTGCTTAGTATCAGCAGACCTGGTACCACGAGGGGCCAAACACCCTGAAGACAGCCAGGATGTGGATTGCCAGCTATTCGCTTCCTCGGTAAGGGGTTGATGCTGTAAGATGCTTCTACATGTACAGACAAGTGTGTATAGATCTGTTATTTCTGGAAGGAGGTCCTGGATGGGGAGAGGTGGTTTTAAGCTCTATGCCAAAAAGCAGATTGTAATTGTAAGTTTCATGACAGAGCTGGCAGGATATCTCAGTGGTTAGGTCTTTGGCTGCAGAGCCAGAGGCTGCGAGTTCGAATCCCCCCCACTGGGCCTCCTGGGAGAAAAGCTAGCCTGGATAGCCTTGGGCAAGCTGCACCTTCCCAAGGTTGCCCCCTAGGGGAAGGGAAGGGTAATACACCTCTGAGTGTTCTCTACCTGGAAAATGCTGAAAAGGGTCTTCATAAGTCAGAAGTTTTTATTGTATTATACTTTTCCTCATGCCTGTTGGCAAGAAAACCAGCAGGCCAGTTGTGGGCCCGGAGGGGAGGCAGTTGTTTGACTATAGAAAAGGCCTGAAGGCTTTCTGGTTCTGCCCTAGGGCGATCAAGCGACTCGAGGAAGCTCGGATGCTCAAAGAGGTCCCTGAGGCCACACGGACATCCCAGAAACAGGAGCTGCACAAATCTCTGAGGGTAGGTGGGGACTCTTTATACCATGACAAATGTCGTACCCATGGGACCCTGGGACCCAAAGGCTCTTAAGACACGGAGCCTCGCCTCCCGCAGCAGAAAATGTGGGGCCCCAATGAGCTTCTTCTCTCCTTCCAAATCCGTGGCCTATTACAGCAAACACTATATTAATAGCAAATGCCCTCCGTAGCCTGGTTTCTGGCTCCCTTTAGTGGGCAGTTCTGCTGATTTTTAGAAATACTGTACATATTCATATTTTTAGGATTTTTCTTTTAATATTTTCAGGCAAGTGGATAAGGGAAGCCGCGAATACCAATCCCACAGATAAGGGGCTCCTACTATACATATTTCTTTTAAGGGAAGAGAAAGGAGCAATCTAGATCAGAAACCTCCACCCTCTTCTTTGTCTGCCCTGAATTATTATCTCCTTTCACATCACACTTTTTTTACTTCTCTCCTGGCAACTTCTTCCATTTTTTCCCCATTTCAGTCTCTGAATAATTTCTGCAGCCAAATTGGGGATGACCGGCCCATCTCGTTCTGCCACTTCAGTCCCAACTCCAAGCTCCTGGCTACAGCCTGTTGGTAAGAGTTCGTTTTTATTTTTGCACTCCATCACCTTGTTTTTCTGCAGTTTTTCTCCCATTTGTATAGGAGCAACCTGGGAGGTTTTTGAGGGGTGCCTGGAGTGAGAAGCCAAGAACGTAGTCGAATGATTAGATGGGCGGGATAGATACATGGATAGATGGATAGATAGATGTATTCAGAATAGAGGCTTTCCTGTCAGCCTGAAACTGACAGTGTTAAGGGGTGTTTATACTTTCTGATAGTTAATTCTGATCATTTCACACTCTTATCTTCCTTTTATGATGTTTCCTTTATGTATAAAATATATAAACGCCATATATTGCAAGTGGTTGTGGTTGTGATTGACAGGTAGTGCCTACATTCCATTGTGCTTCCGCAAAAGCAAGGATAGAAACACTTTGCAGAAAGATAACACGTCAGCCAAAGCTCATATAGCTCAATGGCTTAGGTCTTTAGCTGAGGAGCCGAAGGTTGGGAGTTCGAATCCCCCCCCAGGCCTCCTTGACAGGGGCTGGACTGGATGATCCACACAGTCCCTTCCAGACCTGCAGTTCAATGATGGTGATGATTGTCCTTAATGAATTACACAGTGGCTGGACATGATGATCCAGAGGTGCCCTTCCAGCTCTGCCATTCTAAGATGATGATGATGTGAAAAGTTCTAAGATTCCTGTTCTTGTTATCCCTTCCCCCCCCCCACCCCAGGAGCGGACTCTGCAAGCTGTGGTCGGTGCCAGACTGCAATCTCGTCCACACTTTGCGAGGTAGGAAGGTTGCTGCCTTCTTACTCTCTCCCCAAATCTCCTGCTTCCCTCACCCCTTTTTTCTTTTGGTAAGGAACTGTCGTAGGGATGAGGATAGATGGCTGGAGGTGAGCAGCGGCTGAGTCTGAGGAGGAGGATGGGAATGACTAGCTGTCAGCAGATAAATGAAAACATGCCTTCTACTGGGGGAAAACACTTCTTTCCTCTTTAGACAGCCAGAAACCAAGCAAGCTGGTGGAAACAGGCCTGGACTGCCTGATGGCGTGTGGTAATCCAGCAAACAGTGGCTTGAATGCCGAATAACTGCCAACCCACATTTAACTCCCTATGGAACTTCAGAGCCCTTCTTGATTTTAGAAGCAAAAAAGGGGAAAGCTCAGTTTTAAGCTAGAGGAGAAAATTTGGGACTGTTGGACTCTCTCTAACCAGCTGGCTTCCCCTCCTGTTGTCAAGGGCACGACACCAACGTCGGGGCAGTGGTCTTCCACCCCAAAGCCACCATCTCCCTGGACAAGAAGGACGTCAACTTGGCCTCGTGCGCAGCTGACGGCTCCGTCAAGCTCTGGAGTCTCGAGAGGTCAGCCTGGACAATTCTTGTCTTTCTATAAGCGGATCTCCGGGAAACTGTTTCTGATGTGGCCCAACCAAGAAGCCCCATCTGATCGCTCCATTTGAGTTAACATTTAACTCACGGCATCCATTTAAGAAGTAAATAATAAATACAGTAGGACCCCTGTATCCGCGGGGATCGGTTCTAAGCCCCACCCACAAATGCTGAAAAATGCGGATTTATAGCAAACGCTATTTTAATAGCGAATACTGTGCATGGTATGATCTCGGTGGTCAGTTTTGTTAATGACAACTTGGAAATACATTTCTCCAGCAAACGCTATACGAGTATATAAGAGGTCCCCAATCTTCCGTCCGTGGCCTGAGCCAGACCGGCACCAGGATAAATAAATAACCAGTCTGCAGTAATAAAAAGGCATTTATGGGAAAGCTTTGCTTTCAGTGAGAGGCTAGGAACAGCCGGGGGCATGCAGACGATACTCTCCAGCACCTGTCTGTCTCTGTAGAACAAGGCTAGAGGTGATGTGGGTCTCGAGATGTCGCTGCCTTGTATCTCCCATTATCCCCTCTCAGTAGATCTCTTGCTGGGCCTGATGGGAGTTCCCGTCTGGGAATATCTTGAAGTCTACACCACCCCCCAGCCGGGTTCTGCAGAGACAGCTGTGTGCCTTGGGTACACTTGCGCTCCCCCCACCTCGGGTAGCTATCTTGCGATGGTTTCGTATGATTTCTGCACTCTGGGGAAATGCAGCTGATTCTGTCTGGGACACATCCAGAAGGCAGAGAAAGAGAGAGGGGGTGCATGCAAGCAAACGAACTGTCTCTAATTGGGCCCCTTGAGGTAGAGATCGTCTGCCTAATACTGTTGCTGGTGGCAAGAGGTTTTAATGCTGGTAAACAAGTCCCTGATTCAGCCCACGTGCTCAGTGGCTCTGCCGCTCGTCATGGCTTTCAAGCTCAATTCTGGGCAGTTGCCAGATGGGAACGGCTATTCCTCTGTAAGACGGTTTCCTCCTCGAATCCAGGAATGTCTTTTTTTCTGATCCACGACAGCGCTTCTGTCCTCTAAGCCGCATCGTCACCTTCTCTATTGCCACGTCATTTCCGTCTTTTAAGGGCAGCAAATATTCCCATTAACCTTCAGTGGGGGTATCTTTGCCTTTCTTTCAGCGATGAGCCGGTGGCTGACATCGAGGGCCACACCGTGAGAGTGGCGCGGGTGGCGTGGCACCCCTCGGGCAGGTTCTTGGGCACCACCTGGTAAGCAATTTCCTCGTTCCCTCCCTTTTTAAAAAAAATCCAGAATCAAAATTTGTCGTGAAGCTGAATGGTGGCCAGATAAAGCAGTGCAGCCCTTTCCCCACGTTCTGGGGGAGGAACAAGGACAATCCGAACATTAAAACAGAATATTGGAAGAAGTGTGTGAGGCAGCTTTGCTGCATTTTGAATCCTAATCCCACATGTGTTTTAAATTTTTTTTGAAAAATAAGTTTGCCCACTAGAGGGCACAACAGTCTTTTTCAGTAGGAAACTGCCCCCCCCCAATATCTGCAGAATATAGTTTCACTTACCTGTCTGAAAATATTAAAAGAAAACCACTAGAAATACATATTTTTGTGATGTATGTAGCAAAACCGGCCTCTAGAGGGAGCCAGAGACCCTGGTATGTATTCCTGTTGTGAAAATATTAAAAGAAAACCACTAGAAATGCAGATTTTTTGTGATGTATGTAGCAAAATCGACCTCTAGAGGGAGCCAGAGACCCTGCTATGTATTCCTGTTGTTAAGCATGGTCTCTTGCTCCCTCTAGTGGTTAGTTCTGGTACAAACATCACAAAAATATGTACAGTACAGTATTTCTGGAATGATTTCAAGAGAGAGAGTTAAGAAAGAGAAGCGTCCTTATGGGAAGAAGAAGCCTCGAACCTCTGGTTATACAGAAACCTCCTGAAAAGTGACACGTTCTGCAATATATTTTAAATTTTTAAAAAAACATGTTCACAGCTATGACCATTCGTGGCGTCTGTGGGACCTTGAAGCCCAGGAGGAGATTCTGCACCAAGAAGGCCACAGCAAAGGGGTTTATGACATTGCCTTCCACATTGACGGCTCCCTTTCTGGCACCGGGTAAAGCTACTTGCCTATAGAAGCCATATCTCCTTACGAAGTCTCCTTTTGAGAGTACTTGAATGTACAGTAGGGGGGAGGGCCTATCCGCAAGATCAGTATTGGCTGATTCCATTAACCCGTGGTCCATGAAAATGGATCACCTAAAGGAGTTCAAACTCTGGCAGCTCCATTGGATTGTGTGTGTGTTTGTGTGTGTGTCTCATGTCATCTCTTCTTCTCTTCCAGCGGCCTTGATGCCTTTGGCCGTGTGTGGGACCTACGCACAGGGCGTTGTATCATGTTTCTGGAAGGCCACCTCAAAGAAATCTATGGGATCAATTTTTCCCCAAACGGGTAAGAGTCAGAGTGGCCGCTCGTGAGCATTGGGGGACATAGTAACTTTCGCGTATGCCCTTCACCAAGGTCTTCCTTCCCGTCTCACATTGCAGGTACCACATTGCCACCGGCAGTGGCGACAACACGTGTAAAGTCTGGGATCTTCGCCAGAGGAGGTGCATCTACACAATCCCAGCCCATCAGAACCTGGTGACGGGAGTGAAGTTTGAGCGTAAGTCTCGATAGCTGGGGTCTGTTCAAGCGCCTTCTTCGCCACCCATGGGCCCCTTAATTTGGCAGCAAATTGGATAGTTTTGGGGTGCCACTTCTTCTTACTTGTCTTGAGTGTCCTTATCCTTCAGCTGCCTTGGCCGTAGGCTATCCCCATTCCTAAATTTTCTCTCTGCCCCAAGGAGGACGAGAATCTTGTCTTTAAGTTCTTGTGTTGAGTCAGATACTTGTAAGTTCTGTAACGGAGACCCTTCGCGAAGAATCCTGTACCTTTCATGGCACAGAAAACACTTCATAATTCTTGCTTTTTTACTGCCTGCTTGGTACGTCACCTCACGGTCCCGTTTCTTCCTGCATCTGTACGGGAACCTTTTTCGGCCCAGAGCCGAATTCTGCTTTCAGAAAAGCCGTAGTGGAGAGTGTCATAGTAGCCAGCTAGGCTGAAGGCAGAGGGTGAGGCCAAAGCACAGTGGACGGAGTCAGAGGCCATCCTTACACCCATCAGGAGATTTATCTATGGCATATATTAAACGTAGCTCAGTTCTGTGTCTGTCACGCCCCGGTGGAACCTCTTTGCAGACAGAAAAGCACAATTCACTTCCCTGCAGCATCTGCTGAGGCCTTGAATAGCATTCTTCCTGCATCTGTACGGGAACCTTTTTCAGCCCAGGAGCTGAATTCTGCTTTCAGAAAAGCCGTGGTGAAGAGCGTCATAGTAGCCAGCTAGGCTGAAGGCACAGGGTAAGGCCAAAGCACATTGGACGGAGTCAGAGGCGATCCTTACCCATCTGGAGATTTATCTATGGCATATGTAAAGTGTAGCTCAGTTCTGTGCCTGTCATGCCCCGGTGGAACTTCTTTGCAGACAGAAAAGCAGAGTTCACATCCCTGCTGTGTTTGCCGAGGCTTTGAATAGCACTCACTCCCCCCACAAATCGCAGATTTGAGACAACAGCAGTAGAAGTTTGATTTTTTAAAATTCTTCCCCCCTGATTTGGAGATCTTCTCTCCCGTTCGTTCCCCCACCTCACCTGGCGTTCTCTGTCCTCCCCCCGCTTTCTCTAGCGAATCACGGCAACTTCCTGCTCACCGGAGCCTACGACAATACGGCCAAGGTCTGGACGCACCCAGGCTGGTCTCCCCTGAAAACCCTGGCAGGGCACGAGGGCAAAGTCATGGGCTTGGACGTCTCCCTGGACGGGCAGCTGATCGCCACCTGCTCTTACGACCGGACCTTCAAGCTGTGGATGGCGGAGTAGGGCCGGGTCCCGTCTGCCAGACTGGCCCTTCCCGTCTCCCGTCACAAAGGAGGGACCCTTGTGAAGACTGCCTGGGCTTCACATGGGCGGGGAGGGCTCTCGCTCTGACCTCTGCCCCCGGCAGTGACCACATGGGAAGAGTGGTTCATTGGCCCGGGTCCCTGGATCTCTCTGCCTGTTAGACGCTCCATGGACACGAAAAGCCGAGTTTCAGTAAACATTTCCAGAGTCTCTATTTTTGTACTCGTCTTTTCCTCCTCCTGGACTGGACTGCGGCTCCTTTAGTTTCCGAATAATTGACGGCTGGAGGTGGGGAAAGAGAGCTCATTTCTGTGGCTTGAGGTCGGTCCCATACCTCTCCTGTCGCTCTGCTTGATGTTGAAGTCGGTGCCTCTTCCCAGTCGGACGGAGGCACATAATCTTGTATGTGTGTTTGTTTTGGAAAGATTAAAGCAGGGCTGATGCCTCTGTTCCTGAGTCTCCGTCGTCTGCCTTTGTTGCGCCTCTTCTTCCAGGCCAGCTGGAAATCCAGGCGTGGCTCATTCAGAGTTTGAGACCATTAAAGAGCCTGTCTGCTCCCTTTGCCTGCCTTCGCTCCACTGAATATCCACTGGCCTTCTTGTTCTTGCTACCTGCCCCACCGGATTATCAGCTGCTGGCATTGAGTTAGTTGCACATGGCCTCCGACCCTAAAGTTTTGTGTGTCCCTGTCATGACGGGTCGCCCTTGATAGACATCTGTTCTGCTGTGAACTTTTCTAAAGCTGTCATAGCCCCATGACTGTCATCTTTTCGTGGGGCAACACATCCCCTTTCTAAAAGAACTCCTTCTTTCTCAGCAGCCAGATTGAGGCTACGGTCATTGCTCTGAGGGTGCAAGTAGTGTTTTTACGTTGGTCCCGTTGCATTGCCAGGAAGCTGGAGAAACGCTCTCTGGTTCCCTCTAGTGCCCCGTTTTGATAGTACAGCTTGGAAATACTTGTAAAAACAAAACCCAACCACTTAAGAATGATAAAAGAATAGCAAAGGGAGGGGGACTGGAAAATTCCTTTCAAAACCCTTTAAAACAACATCTGAAAGTAATTCAGCGTTACTAGTTGCATCTAAGTAACTTACGCCTTCACATCTCAGAAGTAACTTTGGAACTACTAATTTGGACAGCTGCATTTACACTTTCTGTCGTCCTCAACCCATGCATGAAAAAGAATTTAGCATGTCGTGCTTTGGCTGTTTCCTCAAACTCCGCTGGCTCTTCCCATTCAGCTGCGAACAAACTCTGAACTTTGAACGTGTCTCTTTTTCCGGCTTTCTGATGCAGCACCTTAATTGCCACCCGTGAGTAAAAAAATACTTCCCAACCCAACTGGATCGTTCTTTTATTATACAAATGATTTCACGACCAGACATCCGCCTTGGCCCAGATTTGCTGAGCTCGCCTCCATGCAGCGCCAGTTTGGACCTGTAACACAGCCCTCTCTGTGTGTTTTTCCTGGTGCTAGAAAGGAAAATATATCGGCATACCCAAAATCCCTGCCTCATTCGATATAAACCATTGCCCAGTTGAAGGGGGACTTGTTCAGAAATGGAAGGCGGCAGATAGCTGTAGTCCAGCGATAGCAGGAAAGGGACCCGCCGAGCTTTGCTGGGTTGCATTTCCCATTATCCTTCAGCGTCTCATATGTTGATTCAAGACTGATGGGTATTGCAAGCTAATGACACCTAGTGTGAAAGCTGAGCCTCCCTCACTGAAGCTGGCCTCTTACTAGAATTTTGAATATAGTAAGACCTTTGTATCCTTGGAGAGATCGGTCCCAAGCCCCCACCCTGGTGGATGCTGAAAAATGCAAATGATGATGATAATACCCAGAACTGAGTCTCCCGGATAGTAAAGAGGAGAAAAAGTCAAAGCGCCAGTGTTTTCCTCTTCCAGCAGAGCGGTACATAACTCTTGAGCAGTTTGAAGACAAGCCACCGCTTGTGTCAGAAGGTTTGGCACTGTTCAAGATGCTAATTCGATGACATCTGTGTTTCATGTTGACCCTGGTTAACCAAATCCACGAGATGTTCTCAGCCTTTCCTGAATTTAGGGACTCGGCTGTGTCTTTGGTTCCAAAGCCAGTGACATGCCCACCCCCCAGGTTCTGCCCCGCGGGGTGCACGCCTCACCCCCCACCCCACCCAAGAAACTGCTTGGTCCAGAAGACGGAGAAGATGAGTAACACGGTCATGCTTAAGATGATGGCCATCAGGTAAGTAAAAATCCGGAGCTGAGGGTTGCGGGCGCATTCCCGCAGCGTCGTGCGGCGAGGCAGGCTGGTGGTCCCCGTCTGGGGGGACTCGGACGGGTGCCCCGCGTTGGCGTCCATCTGCGGCCCCAGGTCTAAAGTGTAAACCCTGGGCTGGCGGAGGAAATGCCAGCTTTGGCGCGACTCTCGGAGGCACAGCCGATGCCCTTCCAGGACGATGGGGTTGGGGTCCAGCCGAAGGAGGCGCAAGACGGCCTCGTTGGTGGGCAGCTCTGTGACAAGGTGGTCCGGCGGGAGGGCAGTGGGGTGGCGGCAGAGCGGGCAGGGCAGCTGGCTCCGGCCGTCCGACGCCAGGCTGAGGTGGGCCAGGCACTCGATGCAGAAGGAGTGGTGACACTGGAGCAGCTTGGGGGTCCGGAAGACGTTGTCGTAGGCGCTCCAGCAAATGGGGCAGTCACGCGGAAGCTCGGACCCCTCCTTCTCCACCATGGCACGGACCGGAGCGTGGCCAAGCCTCGCTTGATCCCTGGCGGGCTCGGAAGACGAGATAGAGCCTGGGCGGATTTCTATTCAGATGGCACTTGATCACAGCCGCTGGCTGGTAAAGAAGATGAAAAACAAGGATACGAGCAGGCCCGGCTTCCTCCAAGAAGTTTGAAGACTTCGGCATTTGAGACCAGATCCGGGCTGAGAGGAAGATGAAACAGAAAGGTAACAGGTAGTATTTTCACGCTGCAGTTCCACAGGACCACCGTATACGGATCATCAACACTGCCAACGTCCTGGGACATGGTATGCAACAGACTATAAGAGAAGAGGTCCGTGGGATCTCAAATTCGGCACAGAGAAGCAAGAGAGGAAGGAGGAGCAGGGGATAAAGGGAGAGCAGAACGTGCATTAAAGAAGCGACGTTGGATAAAGGAGAGCTTCCTAAGAATTCCAGCTTTTCTTTCCCCACTTTAAAAAAAATCAAGTTTCTAGACCCTATGATTAGCCAAAGTACTTCTTTTCATTTGTTTCTTCCAGTCTGACCCCAGTGTGATGTTCTTTGTTCTTTACTATTCCTCCAGCCAACGTGGCACTCTAGTCCCCAAAGTTACTTTTAAAATTTTGGTGGGTGTTTTGGGAGTTCCAGTTCAAGAAAGTATCTCTTCCACCCCACCCCCCAAGCTCTATATCCTCTAAAATTCCTCTGACTTTTAGAAGGAGGACCCCAGACCTCGAAGCCATCCCTAGACTGGGGGAGGCTGTCTTTGTATGTGTCGTCGAATCTCCAGCTTTCACAGCTCTATGTGTGCCCCCCCCCAAAAAAACATACCTCGAGAGCAGGGCTACTTGGTCGGGGAGGTTGACGGCCCACGTTGCTGGCAGCTGGCTTTTCCTCCTCCTCTCTTGCTTTTTTCTTACGACAGCAAAGCAGGCCCCGGGGCCCGGCTGGTGAGAAGCACCCTTACCCACCCAAACCAAACGGAGACCGAGGGCCCTCCTGCAGCGAGCGTGTCTGGATCACTCTGCCTGCCGACGCCAGGGCGTTTGCTGCCTCCTCCTGCCTTCCTCGGGGGACTTTGTCCCTTGGCGATCCTCCTCTGTGAACTCGGCAGGCGGTTGCTGTTTACTTGCCAGGATCCTTGAAGAAGGACGACGGGCAGAGCTGGCTTCTCGCCTGAGCCAGGGATGGGAACCGGCGTCCCAGAACTCGCACTGCGGACTCCACTCGGGGGTGTGTGTCAATGACTCGGCCAATAAAACTAACGCACCCTGAACCCACCCAACCCTCTCTTGTTTCTGGTGGGGGTGGCGGGGAAGCTTTTTTTTAATAGGGACTCGAGTTCAGGACTTGGTACCAAAGATGGAGACTAGAACTCAGGACTTGGCACCAAAGATGGAGACTCGAACTCAGGACTTGGCACCAAAGATGGAGACTAGAACTCAGGACTTGGTATCAAAGATGCAGGCTCGAACTCGGGACTTCGTACCAAAGATGCAAGCTCGAACTCGGGACTTGGCACCAAAGACGCAGACTTGGCCTTGGGAATCGGACCCAAGACTTGCCAACGTCCCTGATCAGATCTGATCATTCCTCTTCCCCCCCTCCTTTCCATGAAGCTACATAGATCCTGAAGAAAATGACCTCTTTTATTGATTTATTCCAGTGCAGCGCTCTCAATAAATAGCAGCATCTCTGGTGTGTGTTTGCCGTTAAGTCCCAACTGCACACAGACGGTCAGCAGATCTCTGGTTCCAAGAGGGGAAAAGTAACTTTTTTTAGGGGGACCACGGCTGCGCCAGAGTCACACGGGTGATTTTCAAGCCAGTTGCAACTCATCGCTTCAGAGGTGCCGAGCGATCTTGTCTTTACGTGCAGGAGGAAAGGGGAAAAAAAAGAAGGAAATGCTGGCATGCTAGCGGGCGTGAAGTTTTATGGTGTGTTTTTTTTCCTGATCACCGCCAGGAAAAAGAATATTAGTTCAAACCTCCCTCACCCCGCAAGGCGCTTACAAAAAGAAGCTTTTGAAAAGGAGCCGAGCCCCAGCGGCTGATGTTTTGTCAGCACTTATCCTAATAGGAACTTGTTGATGCAAGCCGGGTCAGTTGAAAACAAAATAAACATAAAAAGTGGGGGGGAGGAGACCAAAAATATAACGGCACCTTAAAGACGACCTTTTCTATTTGTTGAATGTCGGC